GCTCGAATCTATACCCTTCCCAACAGTTAATTGTCCTCAATGAACCCAACTCCAGCTGGTTCCTCATGGGCGGCTGCAATGACAACGACCCCCCACCCTAAAAACCTGCACAGAACACTGCCTTATACTCACCAATACTTTCTTACGCAATCTGACGCAATAGAAGGCAACGTGAGTGCACACGTTGTCGCGACGCTGACAGCTGCTGGACTACGTTCTCGTTCGCAGAACGGATAGACGGGACGAGCCGCTGACCAGGACTTGTCCTCTTTAAGTCGTGACTCTGACTTCACCCTCCAAGGAAACCGCAAGGTGAGCGAACACCAAGTAAATTAAAAACTGTTTGGCTGAAGGTGCCTGCTCACTGCTTAGATTTCATAAATTAACTGGACAAACGTCTGGTTGGCGTGGGTGCTCCGGGTGGCACAACCACTGTGGAGACATAGTGGTGTCAACTGTTGATCACAATTTACTCCATCGTCATGAATGTTCCAAATCGTGCACGTTGCCAACACCAGAACATGGGTCAGTTCGACCATTTTATTAAGGAAACTAGCTGGACTGGCCATGCGTTGCTGTGGCTCGGTCTGATGGAATGGAAAACAAAGAAGAAAAAGAAGGGGCACGCTTCTCATATGTTTAATTTCACAGTGCTTGGGGTGTGAAATATTTCTTGTCGTTCCATTGTCTGTGTACCATACTTAACCCGTTTTTGCACAACCGTTCAAAATCCTCAGACCCGAGATAAGTTGAAATTCATTTATAACTGAAATATTTGACATATTTCGGCGTCGATTTTACAACAATTTTTATTAGATGTCGAAAACACCACATAAATCCATTACACTCTCTCCAATTAACCATGACCGATGTTACGTTTGCTGTCGACAAAGTAGATCTTTTGGCCATCGTCCGTTTACAGAAGTTCATCGAGAGACATGAACATATTTTTACGATTCCCGATTCATTAACAGACTCAAGTACACTAACGAACAGCCTAACGAGTCTACCAAAAACTGAATCGATTATACATTTGGTTTCGTCTGAAGTCGCGGGTAGATCGAAACGCAGGCTCAATTTAATTATCCGTAATATACCCCACACCGTTAAACCGACACCATCAATTCAAAATTCTATACATTCGTATGGCTTAAACATCAGAGTAGCTAACACTAAAAGACTTCACTCCAGAAGCAAAAATAAACCCGTCTTAGTAACCGTCTACTCACAGACGGAAGCTGAGATTTTCCTACAAAATCCCGAATTAAACAGAAACCTGCAGGACCTAAACTCATTTATAGGTGCAGACTTGACACCTATGCAAAGACGTAAACTTCGGGAAAAAGACACCAGCTACAAATACGATAATCAGCACTCCGGTCCCTCAACTGAACCTCTAGCCATTACTTCTACTTCTAGCACTAATAAAAAGAAATGTACAGGCCAGCGTAAACCAAATGATAAACCCACAGCTCCCGCAGAAGGACCTCCAGCAAGTACTTCTGACTCTAGTTCTCATGAGAAAAAACGCGCAACTGCAAAAGCATTTAGGACTGCTGGTTAGAAACAAACGAGGGAGGCACAACAAAATAACAACGTTCAACTAGAACAGAAGGATGATCCAAATTCCGGACCCAGTCATGGGACACCACTAGATAGCAATATAAGTTCTACTACACCCCCCAAAATCGATCAATCAGTACTAGAAAACGACTGCAAAAAAAACACATAAACCAAAAGGCCTTACTAAGCACACCAGCACAATCAAAACGCCCTAGGTATGTTGACATAACAAGTAGAAACCCATCAAACTCTAACTAAAAACAAATAAGCTTCTATAACTGCATATCGACCCCCCAAAATCCATCTGCATGGCATAGGAATAAGCCAGATCACTCTAGCATTCCAAACTCCTTACCCCCTTATTACAACCCTACAAATTACTTTGGCTTTTACACCTCCCCAAATGAGACTCCATTTAGATACAATTACCACCTAGTTAACGCACCTCCCCATATATTGGCGCTTCAAGGTCAACGCGCGCAGCACGATTTTGAAAAGATCAATGAAAGTTATATTTTTGGACTCAATTTTTTAATCTCTTGCACAGTTTTCCAGTGTTGATCTGACAAAATTTTCTGTTTATTGTCATAAGTCATCTTCGCTTCCCGTCGTGTTTCTGCGATTTGTCATAAAGCAGAATTCTATTGTCGCAGTTTTTCACCCAACATAGCCTCAATTCTATCAAGTCTTACCTGCATATACGAAAGGTTTTCCTCGTTAAAATATAGATAAACATTATATTTAAACGATAAACCGTCTCCACTGAACGCTTTCATCGTCGGTGAATTGAGAATTATACTGTTCTCTATTTTATCCTACGTAACCTCATTATCTAATTCAGATTTATTCATTGTACTGTTTTGCCACCTACGAAATTGTCCTTTACCCGTTTTTTTAAGTTTGCATTCTGGTATTGAGTAAAATTTGCTTATTATAAATTGTGCTTTCTGGTCCACCAATATTTACAGTTTCCAGAAATCGTTTCATCATGCATAGCCTCATCCATATATCCTCGAAGTTTCGGCAGTTATCATCCATATAAATATTTGGGCTTAAGTCTTGTATTGCTTTTTCGACATGAAACCTCAGGCAACCCTTCGTCGAAATCTAATGGAAAGTAAACTTCATCTGAAACCCATTGTTCATATGAAAAAATTGATCTAGGGGCGCTTGATGATTTAACAACTTTATGTCGCGTTACGGATCAATTTTTTCTGTTCCGGGTGCCCTTCTTGACTGAAAGTTGTCAACGCTTACGTCTCAACAGTGTGAGAAGCTCATGCCTCTCATTAACCTGGTTGCTACTGAGACTGAAGACAGGCACAAACGAAGTTTCAATTTTTTTTTATTAAAAAACGTTCCTTAGAGTAGACAGCCAATAGATGTCGCTTTTCATTTCCTTTATTCATGCGGCTTCAACTGAAGGGTCACTGAAGCTAAGAGGCTTTCATCTAGGAGCAAGAGTCCACCAATTCTTGTCAAACTCTTTTCGTCGATAGAAGTGGATTTTATTTTCTCCCATTTGGAGCGCTCGACTCAATATTTGAGGGGAAATAAACTTTTTATAAGTTGAGATCAAACTCCACTGCGACGAAGAGTTTCTCCCCCATCAACAAACGTCAAGCCACCCCCGAATTCTACTCATATGCCTTTTACCTCTAAAGCAGTTTCTCCATCTGGTGTCGACCAAATCCCCCTACTATCTACAGCGGCCCTAGTTCCACCTAGCTCTTCGACTGATCACATTCTCACAGAGATGGTTAAAACTAGTCTCTTTAAAACTCCTCAACGGAGCAAGGATTGTTCAAATGCGGCTCCCAAATTAACATGAAAGCTTAATCTTAACAGTAAAGATGAGCCAGTCCTTGAAGCACAACCGACTCCCAGCACTGAGAATAGTGATTTAGTAAATAAACTTACATCGAATCCACCCCGTTCCCACGCCTGGCCACTCAGGTCTGACCTTGCAGTTAGGTCAAATAAGCTAGATGAGAGTTCAGGGAGATCTTTACCTGTTCCTATCCTGAATTCTCAACCTAACGCCAGAGTTGTGAAGCCCTCTTACACATCAGACTGCAAAATGCAAGTATATTGCATTGCTGATAGATTTTTAAATCCCATTGCTAGTCTGACACCTCAATTAATAAACCCCATTCCTGATGTTAACTGTTTCCCGAAACCATTACGTCCGCTACCTAACATTAACTACCTCTCATATTATGCTAACAATTCCCAAAATCCTATTTTCATGCCTCCTGTTTTTTCCAACCCAACAACATCGCTTTCCTCTTCCTGGGTCCTCCTCAAATGTTTTTCCACCTAATGCTGCATCTCTAGGTAGTAATTACCCCACAAATTTTAGACCGCAGCAACTTTGTTCTCCACCAATTGCTTCGTTCCAACAGCTTAATTTTCCACCTCCGGCTCTTCCTTTTTTATAAGTAGCAATGAGCGGAACATACATATTAGGAATACGCTCAGTATTGTCTCTCTCAACGCAAGATCTGTCGTGCAAAATTTGGCACACCTAAGAAGTGTAGCTGTTCAGTTTGACACAGACGTATTGTGCATTACAGAATCTTGGAATCACTCTCTAATTTCAGACTCGGCACTTAACATAGATAGCCTCAGTTTATACCGCCAGGACCGTGCCGAAAGACGCGGCGGTGGACGCCTTCTTTACATAAGAGCCTCACTTTCACAATCGCCTTATGACTTGAACATTTCCTCCTTCTCTGGAAATTTATGTTTTGCTTCGGTAATCCTTCCGCAAAATAGGAAAGCCTTAGTCGGATGTGTATATAATCCTCCTTGTTCCTCCGGAAATGAAAGCCAACTTTGTGAACTCTTTGAAAAAATTGCAGAAACTTCTTTCGGTGTCAAGATAATCGTAGGCGATTTTAATTTGCCAGAAATTGACTGACACACACATACTTCTCCTCTTAAATTCCAGAAGCTGCTTGACACAATTTACTTTTCAAACCTGACTCAATTAGTTCACTCTTCGACCAGAAACGATAGTGTTTTAGACTTAATTTTTACTAATGGCACCTTCCCTTTATCTATGGATTTCTATCATGACCTTTTTGCAAGTGATCATGCATTAATCCATTGTCGCCTTCCAGTTGCCATTTCCGCAAAGCCAACAGTACAACTTAGTATTTTTGACTTTGCTTATGTTAACAAGGAATTAGTTAATAACTTTACATGCATTCTTGATTGGCACAATATTTTTTCAAATAATGATCTAAATTTTTTCAACAATGTATTGCATTTCGTAACAGAAGGTCTGCTTGACCTTATTCCTCGGAAGATGTTCAAATCGAGTGCTAATTCCACCATTGTCTCACACTTTCTTAAAAACAGACTTAAAAAGTTACGGAAGCAATTTAAAGATCCTTCTGTGAGCTCATTATCAGTTCATCTAAGGATCGTTGATGGGCCGAAAACTGCGGCTAAAGTTTCATGCCCTCGTTCCTACCGGTGCGCAGCCCTCGCAGACTTCTCCAGTCTCTTGCAGCAAGCTCTCCATCAGAACAGCTGTCTTCGTTCGTGATTATCGGGCGGAGTTTCCAGACTGGATTGAAGCAACCGTAGTAGCGCAAAGAGGCAGTATGTTGTTTGACGTCGACGTTGGTGATGACATCTGGGTAAGTCATCACAACCAGATCCGACGGCGACATTGCAATAACACAACTGGGCTCGAGTCGGCGCCGTCACTCCCTCTTGACATCCTACTGGATACCTTCGCCATTCCGGCAGATCGGTCGGTTCCCGAACCCAGTGCTGCGCCTCCTTTGGATGTACTGCCTTCGGTATCAGTCACTGCCCCCGGGTTTCCAGACAACAAACCACAACTAAGACGCCGGACCAACCGCGTGTACCAATCAACACTGCCGATGCAGATCAATCCACGCCAAAAGCGGTACTGACCCGCTTTGAGGGGGGGGGGGTGTTGGGAGTGCCCACATTCCCAAAAACAAGAGAAAACCAATAACTGGAGGTCATGTGCGTTTGCTCTCGCTCTACAGCGCTGTTGTCTCAATCAGGCGTCTTCCCATTGACTACTCCCCCTCTTCCCGAAGGTCATTGGCCGAATGCCGGCGAACCACAATAGCGTGTTATAAATATGCGTCACCTTTTGCTAGTCGCGACTTGCAGTGCTTTGTTAATACACTTTCCGCAGCCAGCCGTGTGTTCTTTGTCTGCTGCTTTGGTATTGGGGACCAGGATCGAGTGCGTATACGCTTCACGGGATTTCACGTACCAGCCGGGTCATAACAGTTTCCTTCTTACGATAACGGCGAGTCCTTTTATTTTCTAACAGATCTTTTGAGCATCATCCTGACTTCCCCATCTTCAGTGTTCGATGATTTAGCAGGTTTATTTACCGTAGCGAATAATGAAACTTGAATTATTTTTGTCGCATTAGCGTCGGTTGCCGCGCTACTCTCCTGGAGTGATTTGTCTGGAGTTTCCTCTGTAGATATTACCCGCTTCCTCTTCCTGACTGCCTTCGAGTTTCCGTGCATGTGCTTTCATTAAGAGGATATTCGTCGCTTGTCGGTTGGAAATTTGATAGGTTATTTAGTAATTCTATTCTACTGTGCTTCAGAATAGCCACAATGATGTCGGTCAGTAGTCCCTGCTTCTCTCCTGGCGTCTGGACTCGCTTTTTGAGTTCCTAACATCGGACACAGCGACCGGAAGGTGCAGAAATCGTCCCGTCTTTCATTCAGTTTTCAACGTCTTTTGGCAGTGCACTGGTTCTTATTGCCTGTCGTGTCTTGTGGAGCCTATTCTGCGTTAGCCCTCCTGGAATCTAATGATTCCAGCGGAATTTTTTTCGCAAGAGACCGCTAATGAATTAAAGTCCGTTCTCGGCTGCTCCTCTGTAGTTAACAAATTAATCTGACCAGGGACAGACCGTTCATCTACAGTGAAGTGGTTGACACACTGGCCTCTGGGTCCGCAGGTGACGACTTAAAATCTCGGTTAAGCCACTCTTGTGGACACATTTTTTATAACTGAGTGGCTCATTTCTGATGGTTTTCTAAATTTCCAATCAGTTCTAAGACCGTATTGGATATTTTCAATAAATTATTGCGATTAATATGTTGTCAATTATAAAATGAGATAGAGGACGGCTCAACCGTTTGTAATTTTCGATGTAGATCTAGGAGAAAAACTGATAAGTTGGGAGCCATGTACAGATGGGTGGACAATTGCAGCTAGCCGTTGATGAAGAATTTGTGGTATACTTCACGGGCGCAAATGAGAAGAGTAATTACTGTTTCTGTTCCTTGGAGGATTCGGGCAAAATCTTCCCCCTGACACTGTGGGAAATAACTTCGAGATCCGAAGATTCCAAGAATACTAGAACTGTCAAGTTCTTGTACTCGAGATCCAAATCAAAAGTATACGTTGTCGACTCTCAGTTTATTTTCACGCGAAGTTGAATCTGCCCTATACTTTCAACTAAAATCAAACAAAACTCGGAAAGCTGGAAATTCGAATTAAATTCGAAGAACATGGGTGAGATGTGAGGATGTTTCCACACAGCTTGCTAGTCTTCCATATTCATTACCTCCTCACACCTTTTATGACACCAATATGCTGGCATCCGGTTCATCTGTCGTTGCTATTACAAACATAAATTTGTCTCTGCACATGCTTGCTTATCCGCTTCGAGATTTATTCATAAGCATCCTTAAAGTTCACCATGAAACCCCCCACGCGGTTGCTTTATAAAACACTTATTGTTGATATAGTTAACAAGACTGCAGTTGATCTTAATAAATAATAATGATAGTTGTATTCAATGCCATTTTACAGGCATTAACAAGGAAAAAATAAAGTACGAATCGGGCTAGTAGTGAAAAAACTCACGAGAAAGTAAATACAGGAGATGGTGTGTTGGATAGTTCGGGTTGTTCAGGAGAAAAAATTGTTGCATGTGAAATAATGCCAGTTCAGAAAGAGGTGGTTAACACTGCACCGAACATTTTCAATCTCCACTTTCTTTTCATAAAGTTGGGACAGGACCGAACAGAGTGCACGGAAGAACAGTTGCTCGCTGTTGGCTTAAGAAACCGTCCCTAGTTTTGCGGCATGTAGAGTCTGCACCATTTCTCAGGGGATAAGAGACCATGAACTCTATCACTCCGGAAAATTAATTCGGTGAATTCAGTACCCAAAAATTGTGGGGGATTTACTGAATGCAACAAATGAGTAACTTGTTCCAAAGTACGATTGTGTTCACAGGAAAGAACTGACGATATTTACCGGAACGTGCCAGAGGAAGAAATAAAAAGACCTCGCGGTGACTGTTACGGCGGGGATGGTCAAGGTGTTTTACGGTAGTGCGCGGATTAAAAGTAAGGCAGTTTAAATGCTTGAATAGGAAAAATAGTCCTTTCTGTAATTGACGGTACTACAAGGGGCCAAGGCCTCTAAGGCCGCAACCTTTTCAGTAGGTCAGATTTGACGTTTGAGCGTTAAAACTCTCTTAATAAAAAATTCTCGAAGAATTATATTCTCTTCCGCTCAGCAGCATGCATAGGCTACATAATAATGTCGGGTGGTCGGTTGTTAGATCAGTAAACGTCAAACGGCCAAACGCCCAATGACTTTGATGGATGTCACATACGACGACAAAACCTGTAAAACATGTTTCGGACTCCTTCAGAAATTTTTGAAATTAATAATTTTTTATTAAAGAATCGTAAGGGTCCCATCAAAGCAAGTAAAAATAAATTTGCATGCGAATTTTAGACGAAGTAGGCAGAATCTTTGCAAAATGCAATTTATAGTTTCTGAATTTGTAGTCCGTTAAGAAAAATGATTAGCGAGCGGTGAAAAAATCTCCGCTTATAAATTTAAAAGTGATTGGATTAATTTTGCAGGAGAAAAAACCCCTCGATAAAAAATAATAACAGAAAAATACGGGCAGGACTGGCCTGTATGTGGCGGTATATAAGGGATTCTAATCGGACCTCGTCAGGGCAGAAATAAATGTCAGCCTTCAGGCGTACGTATGCGGGTCGGACAGGACTGGCCTGCATGTGGTATTGCACATGGGATTCAGAACTGACATGACAGGGTCAGATTGATACGCCGGATGAGACTATTCGCGTTAAAGAGGTCAGACGAAAAGAACCCAGACGCGATCGGCCATACTACGCCTCGAGCCTAAACGAGGAGTGGGGAAGGGAGGTACGACCGAATGGGGTTTCTAGTGAAATAATGGGGGGTTTCCATTTGATCGACCACTAAATCCCAGGAGGATCCTTCTCGAAGTCAAGAAGCTGAATGTTCGGGAATGAGACCGTTAACAGTGCCTTTATGCTTTCCGGTGTAAGATGTTTGCGTAATTTCGACTTGAATACCAGTAATTTAGGCGATGACCTAACTTCTGGTCACATCTCCCTTGCCCCATACTCGGATGGGCTCGGATGAATATAACCGACCGCATCTGGGTTCCTATCGCCTCGAGACTGGTTTTCAATTTGGCCACTATTTGCCTTATTCAAGGCCACATACAGACCAGTCCTGACCGACCTGCCTACTTACCCCTTCATGAAATCCGATATAAAATGCCATACACAGCTGACATTTATTTCGGTCCTGACGATGTCCGACTATAATCCATTCTATACCGCCACATGCAGGCCAGTCCTGCCCGCATCTTTCTATTATTGCCTTTTTATCGAGGGTTTTTTTTCTCCTGTAAAATTAATCCAATCATTTTTAAATTTTAATATGGAGTTTTTTTCACCCCTCGCTTATCATTTCTCTTAACGGACTTCTAATTCAAAAACTACGCATTGCGCTTTGTACAGATTTTACCTACCTCGTCTAAACTTCGCATGTAAATTTATTTTTACTTGCTTTGATGGGACCCCGACGGGTCTTTAATAAAAATACTAATTAATTTATTAATTATAATAGTTAATAATTAGTTATTCCAAAAAAGGCATATTTGGAAGCCAAAACGATAAAGCGCTTAGATCTTGTACAAAGAGGCGGCGGCGGAATCACCATGGAGGAGTTGCGCGTGGCATAAGACCGATCTCTCGGAGTGAGGGTGCCAATGAGCGGAAGAGTGGAGTTAGAGTTGATACGAAAAAGGAAGCAAAGGCCAGCTACGAGTCTTCTAACCCACAAAAACCTAATGTTTGTCAGCTGACATCTCTGAGTAAAAGAAGCACTGGGTGCGACTTGAGAGAACAGTTTCCGGGTGAAAACCCTCTGAACATTTTCGATCTTATAGCGGTCGCAGGCGTTCATGAAACCAAAGAAAGGACAACAATATTCGAGGACTGTAAGAACAAACATTTAATAAAGCCTTAGCTTCATTTACGGACGGTAAAAATTATGCGATATGAATCCACATATCTGTGCGGATTTGGCAGAGATTCTGTCTGCATGAGGTGATAAAGCAAGTTTATTTGTATAACTTAGGCATAGGTCCGTTATGATGAAGCATTCTGAGAGTGAGGTCTTCGGAAAAATTATGGGACCAGGAAGTTTGGCAGGACCAAAAGACATGAAACTAAACTTGGATGATGAAAACTCCATCTGCTATTTTGAACCCCATCTGCCTAAACGTAGTAGATCAGCATTAATTTTGTTGATACGAACGTTTTCGGTGTCTTCAAAATATGAGTAAACACACTTGAGGTCATCGGCATAAATAAAAGTTTGCGAATTTCCGAGTTCAATCGAAATATCACTGATGTAAAGAAGGAAGAGTAGCGGACCAAGAACCGTGACCTGAAGTACGCCACTCGTGTTCGAGACAGGTATCGTGTACCTCATGCCGAATATGACTTCCTAATGTCGGTTGGGCAGATAGGATCTGATGAAGTCGAGTAGAGGTGGCTGGATGCCAAGAGTTTCCAATTTTACTAAAAGGTGTTTATGGGGCACC